CGGGTTCAGTAACGCGTAGCCTGTAGTGCAATCGCTCGGGTTCAGTTAGAGCCCAACGCCTCGCACCCACGCGCGTGCGTGTATGAGAGAAACACGCATCGCTCGGCCCCGACCACCCACCGTAACCGAGAACACCCCGATATTTTCCTCGCCCTCGCTTCTACCATGGTTTTTTCCATCATGGACGGCCCAAAGAATGTCATGCAGCTGCGTCTCCGGCCCGCCCAGGACGAAAAGCCCATTTTCTGTCATGATTTTTTATCATAGAAGTAGGACCCCACCACATCTATGATGATACCGGGTTTTGTCACAATTATCGTCATAGAAGTGTCATAAGTATGACAGGAAAAAATTTCGTTCGGTCCAAAATGTCATGGATGTGTCTTTTTTTGTAGTGCGTACGTTCGGTACTCGATCGGTTAGATCGCGAGGAAAGTTCGACTACATCAACTGCGTTGTGAAACGCTTCCACTTACGGTCTACGAGGGTACGTAGACACACTCTCCCCCTCGTTGTTATGCATCTCCATGGATAGATCATTGTGTGTGCGTAGAATTTTTTGTTTTCAATGCAAGGTTCCCCAACAATAGATCTATCCCATGTACATGCTCATAGACGTAAGCTACAATGAGTAGAGAGGGGGTGATAGAACTTAGAGCCATTGGAGAGCAGGGAGTTGATGCAGAACTTGTCGGAGAAGAGGAGGATGTCAAAGCACCGTCGTCGTCTACTATCGACTAGAGAAGATGTGTCGCTTACCTGCTAGTCGTTGATGAACTTGCTCTGGACGAAGAGCCGAAAGGGTGAAATGGTGGTGGGGAAATCGGGGGTAAGCCGACGGGGGCTAAATAGGGCATCCGATTCGGATGGAGGTGACCCAATTCCTCTCACCATATTTTGCGAACGTGAGCAAACTTGACGCCGTGTTCCATTCCTATGCACGCCTGAGTATGGATGGGAGGTACTGCCGAATCATGGGCTTGGCTATGAAGTGTTTTAAAGTCCGTGTGATGCGGGTGAAACTACGAAAACAGACAACCAAACAGTCAAATTTGCATCCGTCAGGCCTAGATGAGGGTAGTGCAGGCAACCAAACAGGTCGTAACCCACATGCACTCATTGGTGCATGCAATACGTTAGCACTTGAGTTTTGGAACAAGACCAGCTAGCGAGCTCAACTCACATGTGGTTAACACTCAACCCCCATCTCCTAATAGGCCTTAGCCGCCAAGGAAGTCACACAGTTGTCGTGTGAGACAGATCCCATGTGTCGTCCGCGAGCGGCAAATAAAGGAGGCATCGCCCACAAGCAGGCGAGGTGGGCACACCCATTTTGTCGTGCGCTGTCGTTCCTTCACTACAGGTGCTGCTGAATTTTATTTTCATTTATTTTTATATATTATTAATAGGATTTAAACATTTGTCTCAGCAAAAAAAAAATCCTTGGTCCAGAATGGGCCAGCCCATTTCCTTTGCTTAGACGCGTTGCCGCATACCTGGGCGGAAATACCTATGTGACGCATAATACGTCAAACTGTCGAGCAAACGCACAGATGGGCTACCAGCGAGCAATTGGGCAGGCCCATCTGTAGTACGTACAATGTTTCGGTCTTAGGAATCTTCTAAAGGTTTCCCAGCGGGTTTTATCAGTTTTCAAATGTTCTAGAAGGTTCCTGAACAAGTTTTTATTTTTTTCCTTTTCTTTTTTTGTGTCTTGCTTTTTTTTCCTTTCTGTTCCTCTTTCTTTTTCTTTTTTCCTTTTTCTTTTCCCTGTTCCTTTTGTTTGAAATTTTCAAATATTTTTTAGAACTTTAAAAATGTTCCCTTGTTCAAAATTTTGTCCACAATTCCCAAAAAAAATCTTCAGGAATTTCAAAATATGTTCTTGCTTTCAAAATTTGTTCACAATTTAAGAAAATGTTCATGGTGCAAAAATTGTTCTCGTATTCAAAATTTTGTTAATGATTTCAAAAAATGTTTGTGTTTGAAAAAGTGTTCTCATTTTAAAAGTTTATTAAAAAATTTAGAAAATGTCCCCATGTTTCAAAAATTATGTTTCATTTTTTCAAAAAATGTTTGATTTTTAAAACAGATTTTGTTCTTCTTTTACAGACAAGGTTCATAAATTTTCAAGACCTGACGTTATTCTAAATTTGTTCCTGTAATTCAAAAACTATTTAAATGTTCAAATTTTGTTCACATTTTGAGTTTTTTGTTCATGTTTTTAAAATGTTTTCGTAACAATAATTCATACGACACACTAAATACGACACTAGAGTGAATAGTGCGTTATAGTTAAAAAGGGTTGACGCTAACATATTGCACCACTTGCTATATGGTGTAGTGGCTGGAAGCATGTGTTAGTTAGAGCGACATCGCAAGTTTGACCCTAGCAACCGCGTTTCTTAATGGGGTCGGCCCAAACAGAGAAGCTCATGTGCTTGTGGCCGAATGTTTGCCGCAGTTAGTGTCATATAGGAGCTCCCTACCTGGGCGGCCAAAAGGAGGGAGCTCCTAACTGGCGCTTTTAGCACCGCCAAGCAAACCCGGCGCTCACGCGCTCGCTTGCGTGTGACGACCCATCTATGCTACCGTGCTATATGAGCTGGTTTGTTTGATAAAAGCTTCTAGTTTGAAAAATATGTTCCCACCGTTTAGATCTTGTGCATGTTGCCTAACCACTAGAGCTACTAGGAGCTAGTGAATGTTTACAACAGAAAATGATTAAAACGTAGCCGCTTTATTTCTTGCACATACATTTTTAGAAAAAAAAACATGATTATTTTTTGGAAAAAACGAGAACAAAATATTCAAACAATCACGATGTAGAAGAAAGTTCATGTATTCAAAACAATTCACAAATTAGGAAAGAGTTCATCTGTGTTTTGGAAAAGTGCACAAAATTTAAAGAAGTTCATTGATTTTGAGGAAAAGTTCATCGACTTCCAAAAAAAAGTCCACAAATTCAGAAAAAAGTTCACTGACTTTTTATAAAGTTCAGAAATTCTAAGAAAATTTCATCAATTTTTAGAAAAAAACATCAATTCGAAAATAAGTTCATTGATTTTGAAAAAAAGTTCATCAAGTTTGGAGAAAAAAAGTGCAGAAAATGTGGAAAACAGCTCACCGAATTCATAAAAAATCCGTTGAATTTTGAAAAAGTTTAGCGATTTTCAAAAAGTACATTCGATCTGAACGAAGTTCATGAATTTTTTAAAAAATCATCAATTCTGGAAAAAGTTCATAAATTCGGGAAAAAAGTTCATCGATTTTGAAAAGAAACTGAATGACTTGAAAAAAGTTCATTTATTTTGATAAAGTCCATGGATTTAAGAAAAAAGGGAAATGAAAGATACAAAGAAAGGAAAGAAGAAAAGAAGAAGGTAAAATAAAAGAAAGAAGAAAAGGAAGGAAATGAAGAATTTATCACATCAGGCGTCGTGAGCGTGTGCTTACTGCGGTGTATCTACTACAGGGAGGTCTTGGGTTTGAATCACTGCGATCACACCTAACGCATGCTATTTTGCAGGAAACAAAAAGCAGAACAGGCACGCCTAGCTAGTATGGGGTGTGTGCGGCGATTTGCGCTCAACTCTTTAACGGGCGCAGCGGGTGCCGTGCCCCAACAGGAAGGGACCTCCTAATCGACGCTTCACACACCCGATCAAGAAACAGGCGCACTTGGGCTGGCCCAATAAAACACTTCGCTCACTGGTCACTGCTTCGCTCTTGTTTAATTGTTGTACAACTAACCTTTGGCCAAATGACATGGACCATTTGACTGGTTGCGCTCTACAAAGAAAATGACGGAATTGGAAAAAGTTCACAGATTCGAAGAAAATCATGATATGTTTTTTTACAATCCGGAAAAAATCCTGGAATTTAAAATATGTCCTATTTTGAAATTTTTACAAGTTTTTAACAAAATCCACCGGAAAAAGAGTTCATCGAATTTAAAATAATTCACTTATTTTGAAAAAGTTCATCGATTTGAAAAGAAATCATCGTATTTGAAAAAAGATCGTTGACTTTGAATAATGGTTCATCGAATTTGAAAAAAAAGGTTCATCAATTTTGAAAAAAAGTTGATCAATTTTTTTTAAAAAAAACATCAATTTAAAAAAAAGTTCACATGTTTGCAAACAAGCCTTCAAACTCGAAAGTAGGAAAAAAAAGAAAAACAACAAATGAAAAAGGAAAAAGAAAGAATAAAAGAAAGAAATTTGTAGTTCACCACGTCCCACTAGGTGGCGTGGTGGTTATATCGGGTTATCTCGACGAGCGAGGTCGCTGGTTCGATTCACAAACAGCTCGATATTTTTCTATTAGAACACAGAAAAAAACATGTTTGATGGGTCGGCCCAGCGCGGGGTCGCTTCAAGCGCCCGTTTGCAAAAACACTAATAAAAG